GACTTGTCACACACACACACACACACACACACACACACACACACACACACGCCCGCATCTGCCCACATGCAACCTGTACATCCCCAGGATCAGGGCCCCCAGGATCCAGTGAAAGCCTGGGACACTGACTTTCTGATCATTGTCACACACACATGTGCACACGCACACACACGCACAGTTGCTCTTATCTGTCTGTGGGATAAGGAGGAGGCTGGGGCCCAGCAATTAACAAGGCAGGGGTGGCGGAGGAGGAGCTGTCTTGGGGTCTGAGACAGACCCCACATTTCCACTGCCAGAGAGGAGACCAAGAGGGAACACCCACCATGCCTCCCAGTTGTAATGCTCACACCTTCCCCCTCACACTCAGATGAGCCTATTTCCGGCTGTTGGAAGCCCAGCTGCCTCTGCAGCCAAGAAACTCCCCGAGACTGGCTGTGAGGCTTTTCCTGGCAGCTCAGGCCCACACCCAGGGACACAGGCAGGGAGAGGGGCTAGGAGGCAGGGGCAGAGCTCCAGGCCACCGAGGTCCCCTGGTGTGGGGTGAGGCTCTGCAGGGTCCTCATTCCTCAAGGCCACCACAAAGCCCCCGGCAGGCGTGGAGGCAGGAGATTCACCTGGGTCCCTGCCCAGCGGCCCCCGCCCAGCAGTCTCCCCAGACACTCTGGAGATCCTTTAGAGCCGGCGTCTGGTACTGCCATTCGCTTTATTGGGCAACCATGGAATCAATTCCTAGGCTAGGAGCTAGGGGTAAAAACAGTGCCAACTTCAGGAGGGTACTACAGGAAATCGTGAGCTCACATCGGATGGCTATTTCCTTGGCAGAAAGGTGGGCAGAGCACCTGCTTGTGGCAATGAAATACAGTGAGAGAGGGAGTGGTGCCTTGCAAATAGAAGCATCCAAGTCTGAGGTCTCATTTAGGTCCAGGTAGGGTTTTTACATCTGTTTCTGCAGAAAACAGTGATGTGTTTTCAACTGTTTGCCTCAATTGTCTTCACCCGTGTGTCTACAGAGGAGCAGGTGGCAGGGCACTGCTGTCTCTGCAGACAGGAAGGTCACATGGTAGTTTGACCAAGGTCACACTGAGCCTCAAAGGGCGGCCGTCTCAGTCTCCCCATGGACTGTACTCTTTCTGCATCAGTCTCCCTGTTACATCTGAGACTCAAGCCCCAGCCCAAGGGCTAGCTTGGCAAACTGTTAGCTCTCTGCCCACAAAGGGGACCTGGCAAGGGGTGGAAGCACCTGCGACAACAGGTCCAAGACACTTGGGAGTTGTGAGGCTCTGATTGAGCCTGGCATTGCCCCACGAGGTACAAACTTGTCATCATTGCTCTGCACTCTGCAGGACCCTGGGCCAGGCGATGGTCAGAGGATATGTGAGACCTGGCCTTCGTCTGTTTGTTCCAGCACCACAGACTGCAAATGGGCAGGGAAGGCCACTTGAGTAGCACTAACAGTCTAGCGGGAGGCCTGTGGGCCATCCTGGGCACTCAGGGGGGACAGTCTGTTGGGAAGGCATCCACCACAGGGAATGGGAGGCAGCCAGCCTGAGGACTGACGCCCATGGGAAGTGGCGCTGTGGGGCTGGAACAAGATGCTATGGACCAGGCACAAAGTGGCCATTGCACAAGTGGCCAGGGGACAGTCTGTAAGAGTCTGTAGAGTCTGATTAAAGAGTTTTGATTTTTGTGCAGTAGACAATGGATGCTTTGAGCACAGCAGTGACAGAATGAAAGCAGTACTGGGGGGGCATGACACTTTCCGAGAGGGCTAGAGGAGAGGGCGAGAGCTAGGGATGGCAGGGATCCGCTCCAGAGGTTTACAGACTTACAGATGTGAGATAACGCAGGAGCACACCAGGTAGGTAAAAGCTGGCTATTTTTAACTAAACCAGCCAATCAGGCTGGCCAGGGGCTCAGGGCAGGGAGAGAGAAGAGGCTGAAGAGGAGGAGGGGGCTGAGTCTCGAGTCTTCTCGCTGGCTGAGTGACCTTAGCCTGTTGATTTTGTTCACGGTGTGAGCTGTGATGGTCATAATAAAGGCAGGCAGGTACCAAGTCTGTGTGACCTGTGGACAGTGTGGCAAGGACAGGCACCATCTTGTTCCATCCTTACAACAACCCATGACGTAGGGACTATGACATCCATTTTATGGACAAGGAACCGAGGTTCAGGAAAGTTGAATAACAAGCTGGGTGTAGTGACACACCTGTCGATACAGTCCCAGCTGCTTTGGAGGATTATTTGAACCCTGTGAATTCTAAGCCAGCCTAGGCAACATAAGGAGGCCCCCGTCTCTTACAAAATAAAATAAAGTGGAGAATAATTGATCCCTGATTCCAAAGCCCTGACTCTGACCTTGTCAGCAGGGACTGGACCAGGCCCGGAAGAGCATGTCAGGGTTAGGAGGGAGACAAGAATCCAGGAAGAGCTGGGCTCGGTGGCACAAACTTGTAATCCAGCTATCAGAGAATCACAGGTTTGAACACAGCCTGGGTGACTTAGCAAGATGATCTCAAATTTTTTTTAAAAAGGGGCCTGCGGGTATAACTCTGCACTCCCTAGGTTTGATACCCAGTATTACCAAAAAAGGGAGGAAAGGGGAAAGAAAGAAGGTGGGAAGGAGGGAGGGAGGAAAGGATGGAAGGAAGGGAGGAAGCAGTGGCCTACAGCAAGAGGCGGCCAGCCTGAGCCAGCCCTGGCCATGGCAGGACCCACCAATGGGAGGTCCACGTTGGAAGGAAGGCCTCCACTGTAGGGAGAACGGTGACTGGGCCTGGGACAGCTCCTGCTTCTCTAATTCCCACCCTGGCCATTATCCCTGGTGCAGCCGGGGGCTCCACAGGGGCAGCTCCCTGCCCCAGCACCCTCCACTCCCTCCCTCCAGGTTTTTTGTGAACTTTCCCTCGGCCAAGCAGTACTTCAGCCAGTTCAGACACATGGAGGAGCCCCTGGAGATGGAGCGAAGCCCCCAGCTGCGGAAGCATGCCTGCCGGGTCATGGGGGCCCTCAACACCGTGGTGGAGAACCTGCATGACCTTGACAAGGTGTCCTCTGTGCTGGCTCTCGTGGGCAAAGCCCACGCCCTCAAGCACAAGGTGGAGCCTGTGTACTTCAAGGTAGGCCCCTGGGGAGCGCCAGCACCCACTGCCCACTCTGCCAGGAGGGCACCTGGCAGCAGGATGGAAGGGCTGGGTCCCTCCTGAGGGCACGGGGCTCCTACCACTGCCAGGCCCTAGGGTTAGGAATCATCCCTTTGGCCTACACAGGGCAGAAGTGGGTCCGGGGGGCCACAGGGGTTGGGGTTCCAGGTGTTCACTGCCGTTCACTACTGTTTCTTCCCTTTCCCTGCAGATCCTCTCTGGGGTCATTGTGGAGGTGATTGCTGAGGAGTGTGCCAGTGACTTCCCAGCAGAGACACAGAGAGCCTGGGCCAAGCTGCGTGGGCTCATCTACAGCCATGTGACCGCTGCCTACAAGGAAGTGGGCTGGGTACAGCAGGTCCCCAACACCACCACGTGAGGAGGGGGTGAGGGTGGGCTGGGCAGCCTCCAGCCAGGTCCTCTGCTGTCCCCTAGGCTTCCAGTCTCTCCTGGGGCCCTGCGGCTGACACATCTAAGGCACAGTGGGACACAGACAGCTCCCTCTGATCCCAGGCCTGCTACCAGCCAACCCAACTAGGGCAAAGTCCTCTGGGACAGAGTCTGTCCCTTCCCTAGACCAGGGAGCACAGGACTCTGGGCCTTCGCTACCCAGGCAGAGAGATGCCACAGCAGCAAAGTCGGCTGCCGAGGCTCCAAGGCAGCCCAGGCCAGCTGCGGCCACTTCCTCCCCAGCACCAGCCACATAGGCCTGGTTTTCCAGCACTGACCAGTGCTCCCACCACCCTCTGCCTCAACAAGGCCAGAGCCAGGAGAGTCACAAGGACGTGTGCACACACACACATGCCCAGGCCACGCAGGACCTGCATGGGTGGCATTCACATGCACACCACCAGGAGATGTTTACTTCCAGGCTGACCTCGAGGCCAGCTCCCAGTCCTGGGCTCAAGGAGGGTGGCCAGCCTCAATGACTCCAAGTGGGGGTGCGCTCGCCTCAGACATGGCAGGCGGCTGGGAACACTCTGGGCCCTGGGGAGGGCAGCTGGCTGACTGTGGGAGCTGAATGGAAGGGTGGAGTAGGGCTGGAAGAGGAAGGAGAGAGACAGGGAGGTGGGAATGGAAGCCAGAGGTCAGCCAGTGGCTCTGGACACGTGCTGTAAAGAAACATTCCCAGCAGTTTCCCATGGAACAGGCAGTGATTTGTCCCCAGGCTCTGCACCAGCCTCTCCAGCAAGCCAGGCTCTGAGGAGGAGAAGGAGAAGGAGGAGGAGGAGGAGGAGGAGGAGGAGGAGGAGGAGGAAGAAGAGAAGGAGGAAGTAGTCCCAGGGTGGTGGGTAGGCCAGACCTGCTGGCCTTCCTGCTGCTGATCAGGGCAGGCAGGGAGCTCCTGCTGCATCCTCCCCTACATCGCAGCCCCCAGGAGAGCTGAACCGAGCTTGGGGCTGCTGACAGGCTAACTCCAGATGTACACAGCTGGGCCCTGGCCTGCCCCGCCCCAGACCCTGGACCGGATAGGACGCAAGCAGGAGATTTTTACCTGCCACTGGAGGGTACCGGCAAGCTGGAGAGCTGGGGTTAAGCGGGAAGCCATTACCCTGAGGGACCAGGAGGAGTGCGGTGGGGGTGGGGAACAGGGGAGGGACTCTGGGCTCCCTCCCACTCCTCTCCCGGGAGCCTCTGCCGCCCCCAGATGGGTTTGTTTACAGCCAGGAGACAAGACTTCCTGCTTTTCGAGAAAAGGGCTTTTTTATGGGGGCCTAGAGGGACTGCAGAGAGCTGGCGGCTGGGCCTTAGTGAATCAGAAACACATGGCAGGCGCCCCCCTTCTCCTGCCCCAGCTGGACCCCAGGGACTTAGATGGAGCCAAACACCAAATATTAGGAAACACAGAAACCGCCTAGTCTGCTCCTGCTCTCATGGACCGGATGGAGATGGGCTATGTGGAGGACCCCAGCCAGCACGTCAAGGGATTGTGTCCACCCCCGTCCCTTTTCACCCTCCACTCAGCCCTGGTCTCCCGGGGGAATGGGATGTAGACCCCCTGAGAAAGCAAGTGCCCAGGCCTGCAGACCCCACGCACTCTGGGTCCCACGGCGCAGAGGGTGGGAGGAGTTCAGAGCTGACTGCGAGGCCCCATCCAGCTCCTCTTATTGGAGAGGCAGTGGTGGGCCAGACACCACTGTTTATTGAACCGTCTCTGCTCCAGGGCGTGGGAGCCTCTGTGTGGGCGACGGGGCGGGATATGGTCAGTGAGCTGAGAGGGGCTGGCGAAGGTCTGGACAGGCTGAACAGAGCACACTTCGGAGTGCCTAGGAAGAAACCTCAGATTTGCGCGGCGCTTTGCATCTCCTGAAATGGGTTTTACTTCCATCTCCATCCTCCAGTAGGCAGGCAAGGCAGACATTCACACTTTAGAGAAAAAGATCTGGGGTTCTCGGGACCACCAGCTTCACACTGGCAGGTTGGTGGCACAGGGAAGAGTAGGCCCGGGGTCTAATGACTACGTCCTACTGCACCATGCTGGGTCGCTGCAGGAAGTGCCTGCCTGCCGTCCCCAGGGCTCCCCACGCTGGTTCCCTGACCTGTGTAACCTATTCCCTCTCCATCTCCTGTCTCGTCCACAGCCCACCCAGCACGCTGCCCTCCTCAGGGCCGTAGGACCCCTCTCAGCATCCCCCTCCCTGGCAGCACCTTGAGCAGAAGGCCGAGTTCTGAAGATCCTCCTTGACCCTTCATTTCTGGGTGCCAAGGAAGCTGGAGGAACCCCGACTCATCTTCCCGGAAGGAGGCCTCCGCCGCACTCCCCTGAGCTGCCAGGAGATGGCGCTGGCTGCCTGGATGCTGAGCCCAGTGCAGCAGGGTGGGCGGGGACCCTTCCACCTTGCCAAGCGGGGCCCACTCTTAGCTTTTCTACTCACCGTTAGAGAAGGACCTAGCTGAGCGGCTGGCGGGGAGCAGGGACAGGGCTGTGAGTCCCTCGGGAATGAATGAGCCCCGTTTCACTGTGCCGCCCAGCATGCGGGTCTACACCTCACCATCTAGAGTATCATGCACACGTGTCTATCATATACTCTACAGATATATTCTATATACAACCTATATAAATACATATATATATATATACACACACACATATCTATCCTGTGTGTCTGAGGTCTGGGACCCTTAGTCTCACCCACCTGCGTGTGAGGCCTGGGGGACCTGGTCACACTCTCGGCAGGATGTCCTGGAACAGGTAGAGTCTATGGCAGCACAAAGAATCAAGCCTGGATGTGCAGGGTTGGGGTGGTCTAGCGGTCTGGCTCCCCCACATTCCCGCTTTCCACTTCCGGGAATAAAGGACTTGGGCCTCCCCCTCCCCCACACGGGATCTGACTCACTGACTTGTCTAGAATTGGCAAGGGTTAGAGCAGGCCAAGGGGCCCAGAGGTTCCAGCTGTGGCAGAGACCCCGGCAAGGAAACCTGGGCTGCCAGCCGCCTGCTGCCCCCAGCACAGCCCAGGGGATGCAGGGTGGAGGGCGGCAGGGCCTCCCCGGCTCTCCCTGCCGCCCCGTTGCCAGTTGGTCCTGTCCACCCACCTGCAGTGGCCTTGCCACGCACGCCCTTGTGTGCCCCTTGGCACACGCATCATCCCAGAGGGTGTTCTGCCGCTGCGACTGCTGTACCTGCGTCCCCTCCTGTCCATCCTTACACTGTCGTCGTGTACTTGCTGTCCTCCTTTTGTAGCTTCTGATGTTTGTAACCAGACCCATCTGTGTCATTAAACAGACCCATTCTTCCTGTGTCTGGGCCTCACTCTTCCGTCTGTCCCTGCCACCTGCCTCCGCCTCTGTGTCCTTCCTTAGTCCTGGGGTTCATCATTTTTCTTGAAAGGCCCTCAAGGCACCCTCTGGCCCGTGTCTCAGCCTCAGCTCTTCATGAGCCCCTCTCTACACTGCCGTGGGGCGCTGTTTCATGCTGAGCACAAGGCTGGAAGCCAGAAGCTTGGTTTTGTGAGCACCAAGAGAGCTCTGCCCGGACGCAGTCCGGGAGACAGGCATAGTGCTGGACTCTCATCATTTCAGTGTTTTCTGAGGCTGAAGCAGGTTGGCCTTGTCTCAAAAGAAAAAAAAAAAAAAAGGGGGGCTGGAGATGTAGCTCAATGCAAAGACCCTGAGTTTAATCACCAGAACTTCAAAAAAGGGAAGAGGATAAAGATTTTGTTCTAGAAAACTCTTCACCATGAAATAGACAAGGAGGAGGAGGACAGGGAGAGATGTCCAGGCCCACGGCCCTGTTGGTCCATGTGCTGTAACTGGAGAGTGAGGATGGAACCTCAACCTGGACCTGAACATGGCCCTACACAGGGACAGCTGACCGTGAGGCCCTGCTGCTCCTGCGATGGTGACATCGAGGCCATCAGCCCTTGAGCTCTGAGGAAGGGAGGAAGCCGGAGGATTTGCCTTGGAGCCCAGCCCTCCCAGCAGCAGAGCCAGGTCAGCCCCAGCCATCAAGGGCCACGGTGAGAAGCAGAGGCGCGTCCATTCCCCACCCAGGTGGGGGCCTTGCAGGAGAAGCAGGAAGAAGCATCTGCCCCCTGGGAAGGCTCTGGGCTGCCTGAGAAGGCTCAGCTGACACACAGGAAACTGTCTCCCGGACGTGAACTCAGAGGCAGGCCGTGCCTTCATCTCCGAGACTGGCGAATACTGGACGGAAATCCAGAGAATAAATAAATACCACTCTTAGAAAGCAAGACAAGTACACGGGCCAAAAGGGAGCTGTGAGCTGAAAGGTGGCAGGCACAGGGTGCTGAGAGGGCTGGACAGGGCGGCCTTCCCGGGAGGCAGTGTGGAGACAGGGCCAGGCTCCAGCCTTGGACAGTTGCTTACTGCTATGTGACCTCACGCAGGTCGCTCAGCCTCTGTGAAGCTCTATTGCTTCTAACTTAAAATAGTAGTGGATGGCAGGCAGAACTGGAGCCAGGGTGAGTGGGTGGGTTGGTGAGATCAGGGTGGTGGACAGATCTTAGGGACAAAGACACTGCCCCACTTCAGTTCCCCCCAGAACGACGAAGCAGCTTCTGAAGTGGTGGAGACTGACATCATGCCTGCAATGCCAGCCCTCTGGAAGCCTGAGGCAGAAAGATCTCATGTTTGAGTCCAGCCTGGAAACTTAGCAAACCCTTGTCTTAAAGTTTATTTTTATTTTATTTATTTATTATCTTTTTTGAGACTGGGTCTCACTATGCAGTTCAGGCTGGCCTTGAGCTCACTTTGTAGCCCAGGCTGGTCTGGAACTCGCAAGGATTCTCCCACCTCAGCCTCCCAGAGTGCTGGGATTACAGAGGTGAGCCACCATGCCCGGCACCTGGCTCGTTGTCTTAAAATTTAAAAAACATTTTATTGAAGGGAGTGGGGCCATACCTCAGCGCAAAGGCCCTGGGTTCAATCCCCAGTACTGGAAAAGAAAAGACACTTGAGATTATCCTGGAGCTGACCGTGAGAAAGATTTCCCCGCCTTCCGCTGCTGGGAGGAAGACATTGGCCACCACCCCGCTGGGACAGGCCAGGGCAGGGCAAGGGCCGCTGGGTGGGCTGCAGGCTGTGTGCAGCAGGGGCAGCGTGTGTGGGAGCAGGTCCCCCTGTGCTCCACGTGCAGGGCTGAGCTGAGCCCAGCAACTGGGTCAGCTCGGCCGTGAGCCCCAGGGGTTCAGAACTGGGCTCCTAGGGTGACAGAGGCCCGGCGGCTTGGCCCCCGCAGCGACCTCTGCTGGCCACGGAGGGAACCGCGTCGAGGAAGCGGCCTGGGCGAACCCCGCGCGGCAGGTCAGCCAAGCGGGGTCACCAAGACCGCAATGCGGACCGCGACGAGCGCGCTGGCAGAGATGTCGCGCAACTGGAGAAGCGTTTCAGACATTTTACTGGTCAGCGTGGCAAGACTCTTTCTCAAAATTTTAAAGTTAAATTTTAAAAGGCCGGGGGGGGGGGGTGGCTCCCAGCTGTAGAGTTTGTTTAACTTGCTCGGTCCCTGAGTTCTGTCCCCAGCACTGCAAAAACAAATCACTGCCACCGCCACCAGCAGCTCCCAAACGAGCGGCGGAGTGTGCTCCGGTGTGCCTCGGTCTCAGTACTCAGGAGACCAGTGAGGGAGGTTTGAGGACAGGGGCCCGAGGCCAGCCTGGGCTACTTAGCAAGACCCTGTCTCAAAAACCAAGAAGTCTGTTTTTGTCTAAAATTTAAAAAGAATTTTTTGTCATAGTTTATTTCTTCTTTTTGATACCGCGGATTGAACCTAGGACCATCACACTGAGCCAGATCCCCATCCTCTATAAAATTTAATACCTCAAAATATAAAATTTTTATATTTTATATTTTGAGGTAGTGTCTCTCTAAATCACTGGGTTGCCCAGGCTGGACTGGAATTTGTGATCCTCCTGCCTCAGCCTCCCAAAGTGCGGAGATCACAGGTATGTGCTGCCACGCCCAACCTGAGATTTAATCTGTAAATTGGTCCAACATGATTCACTGATGCATGGGGCACATCGGGTAAGGGAGAAGATGGGTGAGGGTGGTGCCAGGGCTTTGGGATTCAGCAGATGGCATCACCACTTCCGATGGAGGAAATGCCCAGCAAGAACAGGTCCAGGCAGGAGTCTGCTCTGGGCAAAGGACATGGGAGCTGTCCAGTGGGACTTGGACATTCCAGCTGGAAGCAAGATAGAGGTCAGGGCTGGGATTAAATCTGGGATTGGATGAGATCACCAAGGAAAGAAAGGAGTGTGGGAAGGGAGAGACCCTGGGCCTGAGCTTGGGGGGAGAGGGAGAGGGAAGGGTGCAGGGGGAGGAAGATGGGGGAATCAGGGAAGGGAGGAACCAGCCTGCTCTGCTGCTGCTAAGAGGCTTCTGACAGCCCTGGCCAGCTGTGTCCGTGTGTGTGCCTTCTCTGGGGGTGGTGGGGGACAGATGGCGAGGCGGGGCCTGGGGACGGGAGGATTCAGGGCTGCCCAGGAGGGTGGGGAGGGTGGGGATAAGGCAGAGACAGGAAGGAGCTCAGAAGATGTGAGGTCAGGGAAACATGCCGGCCAGGCCAGGCCCTGACCTTACCAGGGACAGAGAGACAGATAGAGAGATGACAGCACAGGGGCCAGGTTGATCCCAGCTTGGGAAGCTCCCAAGAAAGAGAAAGCCAGGCTGTCTTCATGTGTCTGGGCAACTATAAAAGCTTACTAAATACAAGTGGCCTACAACAGTAGATTTTTTTTATTTGGTTGTGGTAGTAAGGATTTAACCCAGGGCCATTGTACTGAGTGAGCTGCACCCTTGCCCTGTCCCCACCCCAATATTTAGTTATTTTGTTGAAACTGGGTCTCAGTAAGTTGTTAAATTGTTCAGGTTGGGCTCAAATTGCAATCCTCCTGCCTCAGCGGCCCAGATTGCTGAGATTTATGCGTGTGCCACCATGCCTGGCTTGCACAATAGAAATTTGCTTCTTACTGTGCGGGAGGCTGGCAGCCCAAGAGCAGGGCCCCAGCAGCTTCGGTGTTGGCGAGAACCCACTTCTGGTTCTTAGGTGGCAACTTCTCAGAGTCCTCACAGGGCAGGAGAGGTGGGCTCTGCGTTGTTGTGGATGTTATTGTTGCTGTACTGGAGGCTGAATGGAAGAGGACTCTCACTAAGATACCCCCCCCCCCAGCACTTTTTTTTTGGTCTTTTTGAGACAGGGTCTAGCTATGCAGTTCAGGCTGGCCTTGTGCTCACTTTGTAGCTCAGGCTGGTCTCAAACTCGCAAGGATCCTCCTACGTCAGCCCCCCTAGTACTGGGATTACAGGTATATGCCACTATACCTGGCTTTCTTTCTTTCTTTTTGGTCTTTTTGACTTTTTTTTTCCTTTTGAAACAGAGTCTAGCAAAGTTGCCTAGGCTGGGTTCAAATTTGAGATCATTTTGCCTCAGCCTCCCTGAGTGCTGGGACTAGAGAGATACACCGCTGGACCAGCCCTCTGGAGTCTCTTAGAAAGAGACTAGTCCCATTCAGCCTAAAATCTAATCACCTCTGAAGGGCCCCACCTCCTAACACTGGAGATTAGATAACAATCTGTGAGTGGGGGGAGGGACACAGCCTTTCAGCCTCTGCAAAGGTCCATGTCCAGGCCTGAGGCCCGGAGCTTGTGGCTGTTTGGTGTTCCTGAGTCTCCAACAAGTTCACTTCCTGCACAGTTGCAGGGTGGGCTGCCTGGGGCGCTTGTGCAGAGCCCAGGAAGGCTCTGGGCGGGGCAGTGCCACTCATCTCAGGCCTGGCATCAATTGGAAAGAGAGCAGCCGACGCCTGGGGATTTTCTGGGGCCAATGGGTCAGGAGGGTGAGACAGCAGGCTCTCAGCCCACCTGGGCGGCCTGGCTCCATGGGGACTCACAACTCAGCACCTGACTACCAGAAGACAGACCTGAGCCCAGCCAGGGGCCTGAGGTAGGAGCCCAGCCCCCAACCCCACCTCCCCTTCTCTGTGCAAAGACAGGAAGGTGTATGGGGCACAGTGTGAGCAGGGGCTGTCTCAGAGCAGGGGGAGTGAATCCTTGGTCTTCTTTAAATCCAAACCTAGAATCTTCAATATTGCTATATTCTGGAGGCTAAAGCAGGATGATTCTTGAGTTTGAGACCAGCCTGGAGCACATAGCCAGACTCTGTCTTGAAAAGGGAGACAGAGACAGAGAGAGGAAAGAAAGAGGGACAGAAGAAGGCAGAGGAAGAGGAGAAAAGGGGAGGGAGGGAAGAAGGCCAGCACATAACTATAATGCTGGTACTCTG